TTGAAGGTACTACCCAACAACTCTAAAAGACAAAGTGGGCCGGCCTTGTGATTTTTCCCTTAGGAGTTAGCCCCCCCCCCCCCCCCCCCCCCCTGCCCCAAATATTTATTTATTTCCTTCCATGGATGAGATACACTGCGCGTCAGTCCCACGTGATACAATACCTTGTTTGGAGAAGGCTCACGTGATTCTTTCCTCGCATCCTATCGTCCCAGTTTTGGAATATAATCGAAATGCACCGTACTCAACGTTAGTCTGAAATTTCCTGATCATAACCTAATAGTTTAGGCATGCTTTACGTTCTTTATACCTTACCTTGTTAGGAGTGAGTCCCACATGATATACAAGCTTTGGATCTTTTTCAAGTTCACTCAAGACTTGCTGCAAAGAAAACACAAACAACTCCTATTACTCCGTGTTGCGCTTCATTGCATTCGCTTTGTACCCTTAGTAAAACGGTTTCCAATTGAGTATCGCAAGTAATGAGGCAGATGCTTTGGTTTGGATTTTGGTTTGGGTTTTGCTTTTGCTAAGGTTTGAGATTAGCTGAGTAGTCCAATTGGTAAGTAGTTGGTTTGGTTTTGGTTTTACCACACTAAATTGAAAACCGCTCTCAGCTATCGCTCAACCAAAACCAACGTAATCACTATGGCCAATCACAGAGGGCACAAACAATCCAACGAACCGGTCAAAACTCTGAGTAAATACATGTGGCTGGCGCAAAGCGCGGGGAAACGTGTAGAAGCGAGTCACGATTGGTTTTGGTTTACTTTCTGATTGGCTGAGCAGTCTAATAGGAAAGTAACTGGTTTGGTTTTGATTCTACCACACTCGATCTGTCAATTGCTGGTTTGCACTGTCACGTCATCAAAAATAAAAATCGTAACCATTCAATAAATTGACTCAAGAATCTGGGATATGATAGATGATTGTTATATACGAAAAACCCGCGCCAAGATTGAGGTCTGTGGGGTGTTTCATTCGCGCGTTATTTGGAGAAGAGTTTCACCCAAATTCATAGAGCTTTGTATGGAGACGCCATGTTGGTGCCCCTCGGAGGGACACAAACATGGCGGCTGTTAAGTAAGAGAAACTGTCACTGAGTTTTGTCATTTAAACGAAAAGTTATTACTCTAGAGCTCCGACACATTGAAATTAATACTTCTTCTAGAACAAGAACTGTTCGGTTAGCAAAAATTTACACGACGACTCATCTTTTGACCTACGCAAGAGCCTTCTCGGGCCAAAGACCCCTCACATGACTCAGACAATTATTACAGTTCGGCAGAAGGTTTTGTATGAGTGCGTGGTCTTCTTGACTAGAAAATCAGGCAAAAAAGGAAAGATTGGCGGTCTAGGTTTCTAAATAGCTTAAATAATGTTAGAAAGCAAACACTGCTGCCCTAGCTAATGGAAAACGGATTCAAGGTGTCCAGAAAAGGGCCTAAATGCCACAAATTGCACGAGGACCTTATAGCCTGACAGATCCCAAAACCTTTAAGACCCTTCATGAATTGAAAGTCGGGGAATTTTGGCGCAGCGGCTGCGACTAGCCGATCACAATACTTTACACGAGCGATCACCTGCTGTTGTTGCAACACCAGTGTAGCCTTGAAAGCTTTGTTCATCAAACGACGGACCTCAGCACCTTAAAAATATAATAGCCTAGATATAAATATTTACCTCAGCCAATTTAATTTCATCCCGTCTCTGGGAAGGCTTATGCAAAATAATTGGATTTCGTTAATTAACGGAAATTTAGGTAGAATTCTATTAAAAACAATAAGATTATTCGCTCTAGATTTCTTTAAGGAGATACATGTAGTTGATTTGGCCTTAAGCGTCGTCAGCTATCAACTAATGGAAACCTCAATCCGATAATCTAGCATACATGCAAATGCAATTATAGAAAGTGTAACAATATCGATTGACTAACCAGCGCTGTTTGTAACACACATTGTACTGTCCCACTCTACGGCATGCACCTCTCCTGTTGGGTTCATCCACAAGAGCTACAAACCAGCAACGCACAATAGTTAATTAAGTGATTAATCCCCTAGAGCCCCACACGAAATTGTACAAGAATTCAAAACCTGAAGGGGGAGGGCTCACATGAATAATTTCTCTGGCTTGCTCACAGACTTGTCCAACTGTGAAAGCCAAGCTCAAAATGACAAAAGTGTCTGTGATACTCAAACCCAAATGCAAGGAGGAGGAGCTCCGGAACTGGCATGAAAGACCAGCATGAAAATCTAGGTTGCTCGCTGTGCATGAATGTTTTATCAGGCAATTTCCCTTGCAGGAATATTTCTTTTGTACACAGTACAATTGTTCCCCCTCCTCACGTGACTGTTCTAATGGTCGGACACTAATAAGCCCCATAGAATAGCACTGCTCAACAAAATAATATGTGTGAGCGTTAGAGACGTTAGAAGGTGAAAAATTTATAAACCCAACTGCGGAACCTGTTCAACTTGTTGAATTTTAACATGTCTAATACTACACCGTACATGAAAGTATTTATTGTAAAAAGTGTCTAGCATACCGCAAAACCAAAGAAACAGTTTAAAAATATACCTCATCCTCGCAGGAGTAAAGTGGTGGAGGAATTCTTGCAAACACTGGTCTGAGATTTAACTCTGACGGAGGATTAAGCCCTGTACAATTGAATATGAATTAAACAATGATAGATTTAACTGACACTGCTATTCTGCATCATAAACAATAAATAAATAATAAATTATATGTACAATATTTAGAGGCAAAGCTACAACATGTACATCAGCCTTAGCTGGTTTTCATGTAGGTCCACTGTCCTGGTCAAATTGGAATTTGGGAATATCAGTTTTTCAGGAGAGAGGAAAACAGGAGAACCAAGAGAAACATCCTTGGAACAAGGCGAGAACCAACAGCAAACTCACCACTAAACTCACCAACAACAACAGACTCAGCCAAGTATAAACCAACAACAAATGGCAATATGAAACGAACTGTTTCAGTTATCTTCTTTGGTCAATTATCAGAGATGATGGCTGAAAAACAGCCTCATGTAGGACTGGCTATGAATGAGAACAACTGAGATGAAATATCATAGGTGGGCCAGGATACTGTGGATATTGTGACATACCACCAAATTCTCAGAGGAACATGTGCTTGCCCCCTTAAACCCCTTTAGTACTTATCCAGCATACATTTGTCTCTTAGGTTCTCTTTCTCTAGCTTACCTGTCACAAGTGTCTCTGTGATCTGCGAAGCTGCTGTGGAATCAAACCCTGAACTGTACAACAGGGCAAAATAAGGGAAGACAATTAATGAAACATTAATCTTTGGCAGTCTCGATTGGAGTAGAGATGTTACAGCTGGCTTGGACCAAGCTTTTAGCCAGGTGGCTGTCCAGCTGTCCTGTGGACAGCCATCTTTCAGGAGAAAATAAATAAACATATAGCAGATCTTGTTGATTGCCGGCCCTATATCAATGGATGGACGGCCACTTTTCTAATCCTGGCTCAAAGCCTGGCTTGGACCACAAGTCAAGTCTAGTTGTGTTGGGAGATTCCAGAACAAAATAGCTGTGGATTACTTAGACCCACACAGAGAACTTTTAATTTGTAAGGCCAAGTACACTGTAATATACATTTGTAGAAATGTAGAGTTTAAATATCCAACCCTAAAATGTACTTTTTTAAGCAGCTCAATCAAGGATTTGTCAAGACTAAAAGACTTCCAGGCCTTGCAAATATCTTCACCTACCCAAAACAACATTCATTTCCAGAAACTACATGTACTACAAGTACATGTATCATTGTAATTATTTATTACCTGACATCAGGGTCAGCATCGGCTAATACTGCAGGAAGCCCACAACAACTTATGTCAGGTAACTGTGAATTCTTCTCTGTTAGTGCCAACTGCAGAGAACTCAGGTCAATATTCTGAGAGCAAAAATATATAGCCAATTACACGTGATTGTTGATTGTATCCTGTTCTTGTCATCAGTCCATCATTCCTTGTCTGATAAAATTATTCTTCAATTAATCAAAGTGCGAGTCTATATTTTTAGATTGTAGTTATTTTAGTTATTTAATGGATTGCTACCCAGTCTAGACTCTGCCCATCTTCTAATTGTAATTTGGCACTATTCTAACTCTGGAGATGTACAGTACATGCACACTTGGAGCGCTTTCAATGCCACCAAAAATTCGCAAATTTTCGAAACAGGGACAAATGGTACAGAAATTTCCAGGGAAAGGTTGGAAATTGTTGAATTTCTGAAAAGCGAACTATTCGACCAAATTCTGGAAATTCCAGAATGAACATCAAATGGAACAGAAATTTATAGGAAAAGTTTTCCTAAAATTTGGCTGTACCTCAGGAGGTTGTCTTCTTTTTTGACACTATGCAAATTGGCAATTTTCTATTCAGCGCTAGTTCTTTTGGCTGCGATCACAATGAGTTGGACATCCCAGGCAAAAATGACATCAA